CAGACTGACAAGCACCATCCACATATGGGCCTATATGGGCCAAGAGTCCCCCAGTCTCGGCACCAACCCCCCAGTCTCGGCTCCCTCTCTCCAGCACAGGAGAACAGCTTCCAGCCCATTCCATGCCATAGGGGATAGGACCATACTAAACTGGTTCTAGCAGCCAGCATTTTGGCACAAAGCACAGGAACATCACAGAGTAAAGTTGCACGCTGTGTCAGAGCAGTGAATGTGCTGCTCAATCAGAACAGTGGGGACAACTGCCATTGCTTTGGAAATCCTCAGTTCTTGAAAGAATGTAGGGACTTACTAGAGCTTTTTATTCCCCTCTCTGTTCTCTTCATTAAAACCACCTCACCATCACCAGTGAGCCATTCTATGAAGACATGCTTACCCAAATAAGCCAAACAAGGGAGTACTGTGACGCCACAAAGAGCAATCACATGGAAAGGTTACATCAATTTTCTTCAGTTTTTCTCCAAAACAACACTAGCCACATTTCTTACTGCTTTGATATTCTTGCTAGACAAGGGCCTCTAAAACTGTCTTTGATTATGCAACTGTGATGCTCACTTCGAAAGCAAATTGCTTGTTTTTAAATCCGTTTATGAAGGTGTTATTCACTATCCAACCTATACACTTGTGAGCCCTTGAGTTACATTAAAATACTTTTTTTTTTTTAATTCACCAAACCCTAAAATACTCCACAGCCTCCTGAAAGCTAAGATCTGACACTGCATTGATTATCTCCTTGTTTTACCAGTCTGAGGGGGAGGAAGGGACTGTGCATGCGTGTCTAATGTTTTCCACCAGTTTTATTACCATGAGAAAGCTGTCTATCACAGAGCTAGACAGCCATAAAGTGATTTAAAAGGGATGTAAAACCAAATAGGAAAAATCATTAATCATTCCCAAAATGATACAAAATGGATGAAGAACAAACTAATTAAGCCTTCCCAACTTTGAAATCCTAGAATACAGGAATATATCCAGCAAGTTAGTGTTTACCTACTGGATAAACACCAGCTCATATTCTAGGGGCTTTCAATGCTGGCAGCCATTTCAGGCTTTAGCTAATAAGATAGCATGCTTCCATTTTTCAGCCCACAGTCACATCTTTTAGCCCTAACTCACGTTACTACAAATATAGCAAAGCACTAATTCAGGGCTATGAAGAAGCAAGCATTTGGCCAAGCAATCTGAAACAAAATAAATGGCTACAGATTTAGATGGTCACTTAGATATTATGTTATCCACTACAATGGAATTTTTTCCCCTTCCCAGATCCCCATTGAAATAAAAAGAATTAGCACAGGTTAATTGTTAGAAAACTTAGATCTTAATAAGAAAAACAATCATCACAAAAACAGTAAAGTCATTCACAGAAAATACACTTTCAATCAAGAAGTGCTAATGGCAATATTTGCTTCATTTTTCTTTAATTGCCCATCTTTCCTTTGGAAGACTCTTCATAAGTAGATTAAATATTTTCAATTGTCTCCTTATCACTTCACCTCTAGATAAACATTTTCCTTTACAAAAGGAAATTGTGCCTTACATCAGGCACAAATTGGCTGACATCACCGCAATTAAGGCATACTGACCACTTTTTCAAAGCAGAACAGAAGCTCCAACAGTACCTTTCTAGCAGCCTCTCCCATAACATCATATGGAATTTCTCTACAACATTCTCAAAACTATGTTTCCTGAAGCCTCTTTCCCTACAGACATGTCCTGGGCTTCTTAGCCCACTTATCTCCTAGCACTTCCACTACTCTGTGAAGCCAGACAAGCAACATCTGGGCAACGATTCTTTTTCACAGGGCTGACCAGAGGGTGCAAGACATGACCAGCTCACTGACCAGGTGGCTGATGCCTGGCAGAAGTGACTGGAGCCCACACATAGTTGCCCTTCTTCAGTGGGAAGCACTAACTGGGCACTTTTCTCCTACCCAGCTGCTGATTTTTCCATGAAATTTGTAGGAACTTAAATATATTCCCATTCTCCATACTCAGTAGAAGCAAATTACTGCTTTGTCTTACAATAATAATTTCAGCTGATACAGCATGATAGCTTTCTTAGGAAATAAGATTATTGGCTTGAAATTAGAAGCCAGTTGTATTGCTTTTTGAATACAGGAGGTTATTTCATTCTTATCAAGACCAGTAAGGAAGTTGTTTGACTGTAGGTCAACACAATACAGTAGGATGTTGGATTTCAGACTCCACTGCAGATAAAGTGCAAGTTCACATTGGCAGGAGGAAAAAAAAAAAAAAAGGAAAAAAAAAAGGAAAGAAAGCTTTCTTTGGCTTGCGTTGTTCTTAGTACCTCCTAAATCCACAATAAAAGGATTTTTCCTGAAGCATTTCTAACACAGCAAGTACTGCACACCAGCTATAAGATAAGCACCTGCTTTTCCTCTTGCTAGTATTGTTGCACTCTACTGGGCAGCACTGTGGGGACCAGTCTTCACAGGTCCCACAGCCTGCTGCAATCACCTCTCATTTCACCGCCCATTGTCAGACTGCACCACCTCCTAAGCACACAGGACATTAGAGGACAACTAGAGGACAACCCACTGGTTTTGCAGCCAAAGCAAGAAATAGACCAGGCCTGAAAAACCGATTTCCTGGCAAAAAGCAACAGTCGTATGGCAGAAATTGCTACATGATATAGAAACAGATCCTACCCACCCTAATTGCCAGAGCCAAGCACTGTTGCTTTACACATTGCCCATATTTCTTTTCCTTGTTTCTGCACAACTACCATGGAAGGCTGTCAAGCCTCAAATGTTTGTTCAAGACCAAAGAAGATAAGCTTGTGTTCAGAGCAACTGAAGGAATGCAAAAACAAGCCAATACTCTTTTAACCACCAAATTAGCTATTTCACACTGATGGGACAATGATGCACACCATGCACAATACTTCTTAATAAAATATTTTAACAGAGCTCCGTGATGGACTTCCCTCACGCACTTTAGCAACATGCTCAGCAACCCTGTGACAGCCAACAGCCACGCTGCCAGAAGATTTGTTAGCCATCTGTTCAGAGGTGGCTAAATTTGAGAGCTGGCAAAGGTGTCCTGGATGGCCACAAAGCCATTAGCGCTGTGCTGCCTCCACCACCAATCAGCCCTAGAAGCATTCCTCAATTAGCTGCCAGGTTTGAACTGAGGGTTGCCTATCCTATGGATGGTACTCTGTACACCACTCCTACCCCTCCTGTTTCAAGTAGGACATGATTTATAAACAATGTAAATCACCTCGTGCTCCTCTTCCCACTGCGTTTCACTATTAAAAAAAAAAAGTGCTGCAGAGAGACCACAGAAGCATCTCAGAACTATTATTCCAGACTTCTCAAGTATTTACTTCAGTTATGTTTTACTTCTACAAGTGCAATGTGCTAGAGAGATGTTTTAGCTGGTGGGGATCAGACACCCCTCCCTTCATCCCCACTCCTCTCAGAGGCACAAACAAAATCTATTTAATGAACTTCAGCACCTGACAGTCACTGAAGCTGCTCCCACTTTGAGCAGAAGCCAGTGTGGACTCCATCTTACTTGCTTGTTGGGAGACAGACTTTACTTATGGACAGATTCTTCTATGCAAGCAAGTGCAACTATAGATAATTACAAGCAGTGCTTTTTTCTTTATTCACAATTAAAATAAACCAAGATTTAAAAAAGAAATAACATAGAGGACCTACAAGCTGACCTGAAGTTTGAACATTCTCGCATCCTGGCTCTCCTGTAAAAACAGCAGGCTTGAAAAAGGACAAAGCAGCAGTAAAGCTGTTTCCATCGCTCCACCGGCGCAGCCAGACCTGTAGCAGGCAGATCCCACAGCAGCCTCCTCTGCCACCCACTGCCTCCAGCTGGCTGATGCACATCAGCCTGCAAAGCTAGACTTTTCTGAACTATTGCTGCAGGAGTATCTAGATATAAGCATAGCACCTATGTCAGATTGTACATTACAAAGTGACATTGCAAGTTATTTCTTGTTATTATTTCTATAGTACTCCAAAAAGACAAACCAGAGAGTAATTATGTCAATCTAGGTTTTATTACATCTAGTAAAGTGACTCGTTGACAAAAATTATTGGACTAATTAGGTCACGTCTAAAGAAAAGCTGTGCACTCACTACACCAAGACTCAAACTACTGGAACAATGTTTCCTCCACAGCACTCCTCCTTCCATCAGTATTTCAAGCATTCAGAATTTATTTTTATCCTCTACAGTAAGTACGTGAATGATGCCTCTGCCACTCCCTCCACCCAAAGTACTGGACTCAGGTTACACAGGGAAATCTAACTCTTATTTACTAAGCTTCATCTTCCACCCTGCATTTAACGTACGCTCTTAGGGTAACTTCTTTAGATGTTTTTTCTTAATATTGACAGGCATGGGAAAAAAGAATTCTAAATATCATTACATATGAATCATGATCACAAAAATAATTTTCCTAAAGTTCACAGACATATTTTCACCCTCAAATATTAAAATATCAGCCTAAAATGCCAAAATTTGGCAAAGCTGTAAGCATCTGAAGAAGTGATCTTTCACAAGTACTAGACAACATTCATTGAATTTAGGTGTCAGTTGTAGATAGATGATTGTGTTAGACACATAATTGCATAAATACCTTTCTATTTTGCAAATCATCACAATTAGTAATGCAGTTCTCATGCTTCAACTTTGGAAAAAAAAAAAGTGACTGAAATTAAGCACTCAAGATGAAAACACGCAGTTGGCAACACTGCCCTCACCACAAGTTGGAACTAGATGGTCTTCAAGGTCCCTCCCAACCCAAGCTGTTCTATGATTCTGTGATAGTAGAGAACATTAGGAAATATGTGCTCATATTCACTGTTAGAAACCGCATACCTACAAAGTTCTTCTGACACCTAAAATTCTCTTGTTCTTGATCAGAAAAGTAAGCATGCTCTACTTTACTAAAAACACCATTGTTTTGTTTGTTTTTTAAGATATTTTACTGTTATTATGCCCTACGATATTCTTTATCCTCTTCAAAATATACAGCTGCACACAAACAAACAAATATTCCTAGTTTTAATTGCACAAAGAAATCATCTGCCCATGGCCATTTTCACAAGTGGTTTCTGCCACGTATTTGATACAAAAATGAACATTTGACATTACTTTGTGTTACTAATCACTACAGAGAGACAAATTTTCTCAGGGCCAGAGGAGAAGACAAATCATTCTCAAACTCCCAAATACAGTGAGGTTAATTAAGTGCTAATTAAAATATTTTAACAGTCAAGTTTGCTTAATCTTAAGAAGCCCTCCAAAACACGGGCAGCTTTCTTAAGATAAACTCTCCCCCTTCACCTCACTATATTCAAGCTGAACATGAAACTTGAGAGTGAGTCTTCTTTATGTGGCAGGACTCCAGCTCCACAAAGGACATATTTAGAAGCAGTACTCTGGTGCAAGGACAAAGATATCACCCAGGTGTCCAGTAGCAACCTGTCACAAGAGTAAGAAGCCCTGAGGCTCCATAAAAGCAACTCAGGTCTTCCTGTTCACTCAATACATAGATCCAATAGCAAAATACTGTTTGTTGTAATCGTTAGTTTGCACAGTGAGGCAATTCAGGCATGGATTTATGATCACCGAAAATGATGGTTGCACACAACAAGACAAGGAACATGTGCTCATACAGTGTACTGTGCCCAAAGAACACTTATTTCACAGAACAGCACTCACCGTACCCAGGAAGCTGGTTCATCAGTACATGTGAGTCAGGTGCCTGTTCAAAAGAATTCTGAGTCACTGCTGGACTCTGGCTCATGCTCACAATATGCACAGGCAGCACAGGAAATGCATTCTTAGCCCAAGAGTAAAGTAAGCATCTTCAGCCCAAAGTCAGTATTACATATTTTATTCTTAAAAAAAGAAAGAGAACCAAGCAGGGAAGAGATCCAAACAAGCTCAGCAGTTCTGAGTCTTCCTTCTCAAAAATAGAGCTACTACCATGATATTTCTCATCAAACAAAGCAGTTTTTCTGCAAGCTGGCTAGTTAGCCAACACATGTCACTGTGCTTGGCCCAGTGACCCCAGCCTTTCCACAACTGTCTCAAGAAAGCAGTGCTATAGACACCTCTCATTATAGAAGGCATACTGAAACATTTTCAAAATTCATTCAAATAAAACAGACAGCATCATACTCTGGATATCTGAAGATAGAAGAAATATAAACTAACATCCTATCAATTAATCAAGCTATTAAGATGCCAAACTTGAAGCCCACACAAATTCGATAACAATCACATCCACAGAAGGAATTCAGCATTATCATAGACTATATCCTGTTATAAGGCTGCAGTTGTCATATAGTTATCACATAAAATAATAACATAATTCAATGTTGCTAAACAGCTACCTATTCCCCAGGTTTCAGAAGACACAAATACAGCAAACGAGTACAGCATTATCTTCAGCAAACATCAAGTTCCCATCTGACTCCAGAACAGTCCCCAACTATCCTGAATTCCTATGGTATTCACACAGCATTACAGCATCTCATCTTGCACTGCTCCTTTGTACACCCTCTTAACCCTTTACTTTACACGTGGCTGGACTAACTGATCTTAGGGGGTCTTTCTGAATCTTTGCAATTCTATGATTACAAGAGGGAACCCTAATACCCAGACCAAAGCACTAATGCTGTAGACTTCCTGAACACACCACAGCTGGAAACATAAGAGAAAAGTATAACTCTTATACTCACAGCAGTACAGAGCAGCAACCCAGACCAACAAGTACTTTATAACCACCACCACCTCTTTTCCCCCTTAAAATAAGACAGGTTTGGATGGGTATTCCAATCAGTTTCCTCAGTAACTACCCACAGGTGATACAGGGTTTAGAGGTGCTGCCACAGCAGATAGGAACCAGCTGTGTTCAGACAGGTGTGACAACAGGCCACTGCTTGATGGGCTGCACTTAGGCACCTTGCTACAAGTCAGCTGTACTATGTGACGTGGGACAAGAGCTCCTTCAGAAAGAGGAACTAGGGGGTATAGTGACACTGCTATTCTTAGGGGACTAAAAAGGTCATTATTTAAAAAGAGAAGAAAGAAGTATGACTCAGAAGCTAAATAAAACCATAGGGAAGTTTGACTGGGCCTTAAGCATAAACGAGGAAAAAAGCAGTTTACAGAAAGGATTCCTTACACCAATCTTGCCAATAGAAAGCTATGTTTGGAAGACATGCTGTAACAACTACTTTGAATCTACTACTATCCTATAGAACTATTGTTAAAGCTACATATTAACGCCTGGTTAAGTTATGGAGTAGCATCAGATTTCCCTACAAAGGCGCCCACTCCTCCCTTCCACCTGAAGGCACTTTACTGGGAAGCAACAGCAGTCAGCTCCCTACTCTGCAAAGCTTACCAAATGACTTTCCCCTTCCTTGTGGGGAAGACATAGCTGACATTCACTAACTAATAACTGTACTGACTAACTAACGAAGGGTTTCCACTGATAAACTATCAAGCTGCAAGGCACAGCTTGCGGCTAATCAAGCACCCTGTACTTCAGCCTGCAGAGGTTGCTTTCTGGAAATAACATTGCTCAGCAAGCATTGTGCTGTTCTCTTCACGCAAATGATGCAGTCAAGACTTTCTCTTGGAATACGACCACCACTTCCTTCTCTGAACCACAAAAGAAGGCCAAAAGAAAATTTCACTTAAGCTCAAACTATTAAAAAAAGAAATAAAAATCTCTTAATGAGCGGCCTTCTGCAACTCTTGCGGAGAGCTCATGGTACCAAAGTGAAGTTTGCTATTTTGGTTTTTTTGGAGGGAAGAATCTTGGTTAATATAATCCAAAGGAAATGCAAACATTCTTGTTCCCAAACTGTGGGTACCTGAGGGAATATTCTGTTCGTGGGAGTTATATTAATGAAGGGATCATAATGGTTAGGATGCAGATCCTGTGGGTCCCTTACAGTTTCACCCTACCAGTAACCTAACTATGATCCTTACCACAGTCTATGACTGTAAACAGAGACATTGGCAGCTGGCATTCTTTTGATTGAGAAAATATAAGTCATCAATAATGCAGGGCATATCCTATAACACAGAATAGGTTATCCCTAACAATGCCTATGCTCACCAATAAATAGCCGTTCTATAGCTACCTTGTGTCAGCTGCCCCTTGACTTTGCATCCCTTGCATACAGAGAACTTTCTTGGAGCGAAGTGAAATTGTTGGTATGCACCAACAGAAAGTTTGGAGGGTTTTTAACACAGAAGGAGTTTAGGGCTATCTTTCCTCAAGTCAGTGCCTGCAGTACCAGCAACAAAATTGCTTTTTTTCTTCCATAGGCAAACAATGGACATAATGGCAGTCTGCACAAGAGAAGCTGCATGGGAAATAACTGCTTGGTCTCTTACATCATTCGGTTTCATTCATTACTGGTACTTTTGATCAGGCAGCAGACTTTAAACAAACAAAAATATCTTTCATGTAAAGAGCATTATACATCTGTAAGCTTTTAAGCTTCCACAGTATCCTGTGTCAACTGTATAAACAGTTTCAAAAAGTGATTAGACATATTCTTAGAGTACAAATCAACCAGTGGCGGGTAAAACTTAGCAGCCCATGTGCCACACTCATCCTGCAAACCCTTTCTGCTGCTGTTTGCTTCAGGCTGGGGAACACAAAAGGAGAACTACGTAGTTTTTTTTGTTTTGCATTTACATTCCTTCCCTGATATCTTCTGCTGACCACTGCTGGGAAAAAAAAACCTACGTAAGTCTTTTCATCCTGTGGCCATTTCCATATTACTGTTCAGCTTCTCTTTCAGCACTGCTTGCTTGAGACATATGTCAGTTGGGAACAAGGGAGCCAGCCTCCAGCCCAGTGGAGCTGTGGAACGGAACTGGCTGTTGGCACTCTGGGCATGCCACGTCACCTGGGCCTCTGGACAAGGTATCACTCAACAATGCTCACCTCTGGCACCAGGCCACACAGTATAAAACATGCAAGACAAAATGAGCCAGAGAGAAAGGATCTGAAGAGAGCATGTGCAGGATGAGGTACTTTTAACTTCTGCAAAGCAGGAGCTGACCCAAGTGAGTGGACACAGAAAGCAGGACTGCCGATGTACATCAGTCTGGCTCACAGTACTGAGCTGACTAATCGGGGAAACTGCATCAAATATAGAGGGCCAAGAATGAAAGCTGAGCTTCCTGGGAAATGAGAATGAATGATGGCTCCCTTCAAGCCAGTCCAATCCAGCTTTCCTCCAGTCATTGTCTTTTGGATGGCATCAGATATAAGTGCCTGCAGAAGTCCATCTGTTGCATTGCATAAGCTGCATCTGAATGACCTCAGTGTCCATGCCAAAATGGTTTCTAATTCCCCTCATTAAGCCAAACTCAGCTGCACTATGGAACAGGACGATAATTCCGCTGATACCAGATAGGAGTGCTCCACTCTGAACATATAAATGGTCAAGTGTAAGAAAAGGCAACCATATGTCACATTGAGCTTTGGAGATCTGAGACATGGAAAAAGGAAATGTCTTTGTTTGGATGATACTAAATAGTTGTCTAACTCAGCTGCAAGATTCACAGTTCATCTACCCAAATCCTTAACTGCAGAGCTGGAGTTCCTGCATGAAGGACGTTTCTTACAGCATTCACTGCGGTTCAGTGGCATGAATCCTATGCTATCTTAACTAAACTAAGCCATGGATTTTGCATCTTTAGTTATTAAAAAGAGAGAGAGATGTTTGAAATCATTATAAATAAAACATCTTTCAGTTATGATTCAGAATCGGGATACTGGGATATGCAGTTAATATAATACAAAAAGACAAAACAATGAGCTTGTGTTATAAACTTTCATTTTTAAGTAAGTGCAGGTAAATAGGAATGCATTACATTAAATAGATTATGCTAGATATCATTCTAAATAGTTTTCATTTAGTTCATAACATATAGAGATCTAGGAAGTATCTTTTCTTCCTCTTTCCAAACCACTCTCTCCAAGAATAAACAAGCACAAAAGCCATCTCTTACACAGCTGGTGGTCTATTGCTATTATTCCTACATCAGTTCCCACATTAAGTCTGTGCAGTAATTTTATTTTGGTCCAAAGGCTGCCTTGTCACCAGTCAGCAGTACTGTTCTTTTAATGATTAACTGAATTAATTAGCAACAGTCACAGCTGAAAGCTGTGGAACAAGTTGCCACCACAAAGGCTGTATTTTAAACTATGAGAGCAAACAGTTACAGTTTATGTGAACACTGGTTGAGATAAGAATGTGTATAGTGCTTTAAAAAAAAAAAAATAAAATAAAAAGTTTTAATTGGCTTTGCTACTTAAAAACCAGTTTTCAGGGAAGATGCAGTAAGAGATCAAAGCATACTTAAAAACCCACATAACAGCCCCAAGGATAATAATTTGCTAATATAGCTCCAGCATCTTAAGGGCTCCTTATTGCTACTGTGGCCATAGGTCCTAAATCAGACCAGACTGCACCAAAGATGTACCAAGCAGCTTTTGAAAGCCAAATAGATAAAGCTATTTAGTATGAAATCTCTGATGAACTTTTACAGGAAACAAACAAACAAAAAACTATAAAGGCAACACCGCTTTGCAAATCTGTTAAAGTAACCGTATTCATCAACAACTATTTACTGACAGCCTACACCTATTCGGCACCAAACACAACAGGGCTATAGTCCCTAACTGATTCCTAGATGTTAGGGTAATACAATTTTTAAGAACTAAATCCTATAAAAGGGAAGCAGGCTTTTCTTGATGTAGAAATTTTGTATTTCTGTCTGCAAAACAGAAAAAACACAGATTTCCTAGAAATACCTGAAGTTCATCTGCCAGTTACTCACAGACAGCACTGTAGCTACATGAGTTGCAACTCGTTTGAGTTGCAGCTCCCACACTGCTGTGTGACACAGCATTCTGCTGCTTCTGTTTCTCATTTTCTTATTCAGCACAATGAGAGTGTTGGTAAAAACTCTCACCCCTAGACAGTGCGATACAGATTTGTTCAACTAGCTGCTGGTCTTACATGTCTGGAGGTGCTATATTACTGCCTCAATAACTTGCAGGTTGTCTGTCTAGCATATGACGAAGACAGCATTCAGTTGAAGAGCAGCTTTCCTTCCTACATGTAAGCATGCCCAACCTGCACATCTTGCCTCTCCTTTCATGTTGGTGCAGGGCTGGAAATGAATGTTTAAACCAGAACTCTGTCACTCAGCTGAGCTCCAGATTCGCCCCAGGCAGCTTTCCATGGGCAAGCTGGACGCTTCACTCAGCAGCCACCTCCCAACTTCATGCACTAACATGGTCCATGCTGCCTGGTGCCTGCCCAGCCTCACCAGGCTCCAGCCACATGCTGCTGGGAGCACGCAGCCCTGCAGTGAGATGTTCTTGAGGCTAATGATACTAACTGCTAATTTAATCCCCAATGGCTGTACCATTTGGTAGGCCCTACATACCACCCTCCCACCTGGCAGTGATCCTGAGTACAA